GGGAACGGGGATTGGAAGGGTGGCCAAAGACTCTGTTGAAGAGGAAGGTCTTCAGACGGGACATGAAGGAGGCAAGAGAGGGGGTGAGGCGGAGGAATTGCGAGATAGAGTTCCAGAGTGTGGGGGCAGAGATGCTGAATGCCCAACGACCAATCAGGTGGGAAGTCTGGGGGACCTGATGCAGGCCAGTGTCCGCCGAGCAAAACATTCCACAGATCAACAGCTGGGTCAGTGTACGCCATTTGGTAGGGTTTCCTGGGAGCCATGTGTTGGCCTTCAGGTGTGAAAAGGGAAAGGTGGAGCAATTTGAAAAGGTATCATGTTTGTCACATTTATATTCAAGACATATCTAGTAGGTGAACAAGCAGTTCATACTGAGAAGGCAGCAGAAATGCAAAGTCATCTCCACGGTGAAAACAATTTAAGAATAAAACTCAGAATATTTCCCACTGGGTGACAACTTTCTTTAAACATTTTTCACAATAACTAGAGTAGTATCATTTTTATTAAAGTTACTCCCTTTACAGTTGCTTTGCTCTCTGTTTGCCAGTTTGCAGGTAGAATCTATGTCTGGAACAACTGAGTTCAAGTAGTTTATATTGGAGGGGAAAGTGACATAATCACATACAGGGTCTTTACATTTTCTCCATTACCTACTGTCGGGAACAATCCCATAACAAGATCATTTCAACCTGATTAATTTTAACTCTAGAGGAGAAGCAACTTAATATCACAAAATGCAATATTTTGTGTTTTTTTTATATTCAACTTAATATCAGTTAACCAATTGATTTGAGTAGTGTGATTTCCCAAAAGAATCATTTTATTTTGTGTAAAACCTTTTCTTTAAACTGTGAACACCTTTCTTAAAAATGCAGTTAGGATGACTTGCAACTGAACCACTTACACTAACTTAATGTATCTTTGGTACATGAAATTTTATGTCTTAGTGGCTGCCCAAACACATTGCTGAAAAATGTAAACATGTAAAGATAAATGACGTATCCTAATCTGAGAAGGATGGTGGGAGAATTAGAACTAGTCTTAGCATCCTTGTACTTGGGAAGAGACAGAAAAATAATAGCAAAGATTCCCAATCTTCCAGTGAACAGAAGTGTGGATGATAGTTGAGGACACAATTGGGTGCACTTGTGATAATTTACCTGCATGGTTAAATAGCCTCCTGACTCAGGATTAGCACTTAGTCAGCTGCTGGGGAATGCAATTACAAGGATTGTTAAATATTATGATAATAATAATCTTTGCATTTGGTATATACCAGTACTTGTGAAACTCCAGCACACCATGAGTCACCTCCTTCAAGAAAGGAGGGAAGAGAACTCACAAAACAAAAATCTACATGACACCACTGAGAACTGAGGCCACGTAGACAATAAACACGAATGATTGTCTAAATGGCCTGTTTCCATGTCATAGCTTTCTGCATAATCGATGTCTGCAACACCAATATTTGACCTCCAGGCAGCCAATAGCTTTTGTGCCAATGGAGCAGAACTCCCATCTCTTAGGCCATGAGCAGTCCCGTAACCCGAGTCCATGCTTCTGTTCAGAGCATTAATTGCATAAATCACATTTCCAGGTGCACAGCTCTAAAAGAATGCTTTATGCGCTCCAGATTTTACGATAGCCAAACATTAATACATTTCCCAAAGTGGTGCCCCAGAAGAGATCAACTAACTCAGCACAGACTAGGGAATTAAAGAGGTGATCTGCAGTTTACAGTTTAGTTCATCGACAGGCAGGCACTTCATCCTCTGGACTAGGACTCACCATACTTGTCTTTGTGGGCCATTTGGTTGCTTTCTCGTCAGTCACACATAAAAAGTACAATGTAGAATAATTAATTCAAGGTATTCTTTATTGAAGGTATAACTTTATATTTCAGTAAAGCTTCTAAAATTAAAACTAATTTTACTAGGTTTAGTCTTGTTTTTATTTCATCGGCACACCCTTGATGTAGACCTGCACCCTACCTAATGAGAAGCATGATATTTTTTCTTTCAATCAACATATAATAATTCTTACATTTGATACAATGCCTTTCATGTTGGTAGGACGTGATGTCCTGTAGCTTAGTGTTTAGAGCACTCGCCTCGCAAGTGAGAGAACCCTGGGTTCTATTTCTGGCAAGGCGAAACGTTAGGCAAGTTTCCTTACTCCATACGCCTGTTTATTTGGCAGTAAATAGGAACCCAGTTGTTAGTCGATTGGCGGTTCACTTTTCTGGGGGTAATAGGTCCTTTAAAAAAAAACAAATATAACAATAATAATAAGTTGGTCACTCAATCCTCGACTGTTTGTGGGACGGGACACTGCTGTGCGCAATTGGCTGCCTTGTTTTGCCCACAAAATATACGGTCAATTCACTTTACAGTATATTCTGTGAAGCACTTTGAAACGTCTCAAAGTTGTGATAAGGTGCTATATGAAATGCAAGGATTATTGTTTTCTTGAAAGCACTTCACAGGATTTACTGTAAAGTGTAGTTACTGCATATGCCGTAGGCAAATAAGGCAGCTAATTTGCACAGAGCAATATTGCATAAACAGCTAGAAAGTGAATGACCAATTTTAACTGAGGGATTGTTGGCCACGACACCATGCAAAACTTCCTTCTCATTTCAAAAAAATGCTAGTTTATTTAACACCACCTGAGCAGGCAGCTGGGACCTCAGTTTAAACATCCTAACATGAGATGTTAAACCAAGTCCCTTATGCCTGTTCAGGTGGATGTTAAAGATCCCATGACACTGTTCGAAAAGAGAAGGGAATTTCTGCTCGTGTCCTAGTCAATAATCCTCTAATTCAAACTGGACATTCACATCAAGGCTGTTTATGGGAAATTGCTGCGTGCAAATTGGTTGCTGCATTTGCAGACAAAATACACTTTACAACGTTGGAAAACAATGCAGCTAGGAACCCCAAAATAAATACAGCATTGAATGTGATGGAAAGTTTTGATTCTTTCAAAAGCAAATTATAGTTTTCTTTTAGGAAATAATATTGTGGGATACAGTTTATAGTTTGGGACATGACCTGTGTATGCAACTACCAGGATGGTGGAACACGAACTGGAGAGACCTTGGTCTTTTTTCTGCCAGTTCTTATAGCAGATTTTATATGTTTCCAGATCAGAATCAAATCAGGGATATAAGGAAGAGATAATATACGGAAGAGTATTTAGAATAGGAGTCCTGCCATTGAGAATACCTTTCTTCAGTCACTCCCAAACCAAACATTTTGCCTGAAAACAAGGCATTCGGGAGGCAGCTGTTTGGTGGCTCAGGCTTGAAATCCTTAACCAACTTAGAATTCAGTCCAGCTCAGACCTGAAGTACCTGCCCAATCCAGGATTCAGCCCTAGTCAAACTTGAACTAGATTAGATCTGGTCCATTCTAAATACTGTATGCACTACTTTAGGAGCCCTTGCCAAATTACCCATTAGTAGTAAAGAGGGCAGCTAAAAAGCTGCTGAGACACCACATTGGGAATCATTCCGTTTAGAATGAAGTTTGATTGTTAATATATTTTAATTTGTATAACTGTGTGGAGCACAGGGCCCTTTCCCTCAAAACCAAAAAGTAGCAAAATCAACTTGGAACAAGTGTGATGGAATTCCTCTGCCATTCATTCTGAGGGACGAGGTGAAGGTCATTGTTGAAATGGTGCTGGATTCATAATTTATATCACACACTTCACTGATTGTTGTTTAAAGAATTCAGCCCCCCCACCAACCCCGCCACCTATGAAGTTGAGTCATACTATACCATGTGAAGAGACAGGGCCATTCAACTCTTGTCCTTACTGTTGTAACACTTTCAAATGCAATTGGTGCTAGAGATTTTGGCTCTGAAAGAAAATTTTCCATGATCCTAGGCTGCTAACAATCTCATCTTTTAGGATTTATTTTGCATTGTTTAGAACAATGCCTATTATAAAGACTCAGTGAAATTTTTTTTTTAGCAGTCAGTGTACATTATCTGAATGAGATTTTTTTCCAGACTCAAAGGTTGTTTCTGTATTCTAGACCTTGCACTAAACATGAGAAGACTAATTGGTGTCTAACTACTTCAGAAAAAATGAACACATAGCGCAATGGCTTGTTTTGCTATGAAATTAGTTGTGCACATTCTAGATTTATTTCAATCCTTTCTATTATTCATTTTATGGGGGAATAGGTCATTTTATACATGTTATTTATAGTTTTATTCTGGTCTCCCCCCACAACCCGGCTTGAACTTTCAGACATCCTATTGACATAAAGGGTACTATATATATATATGTGTAAACCGTTGTTGTTGATTGTCCTTTTGTCTTGCCATCCCCAGTGAATATGATTCCTCAGCAGCGATGCAATGTTACAGTTCAACAGAACTGGCAACAAAAGGGCACTGTCAGAGTGACAGTAGCTTCGGAAGATGAAATTCTCAGATTGATGCAGTTCTGGGATACACTTCTGTAGCTGATTAGGCACATCATTAGGAACACTATATATACAAACCTCTACATGGAATCTACTTTAAGAGGTCCCTGATATAAGTTGGTAACAGTAAGAAGTAATACATTTCTGGCACTCACATCTCGCCCATTGTTGAGTGCACACTTTGATTTTCATTTCAAGCTTCTCCTGTCTGTCAGATACATCTGATAGTTCAGCTTTGCACTAAATATACTTATTGCTCAGCTGACTCAAGTTTTGCTTTTGGCTATGCATTACCAGGACTTCTGATAGACATAGCTGGCAACAAATGTTAAGAGACAGGATTACAGTTTATCTTGATTTTGACCATAAAATGAGTACAGTTTACCCTGATCTCAACATTAAATATCACTTATTGGTAATCTTAAAGATTATTAGTTTTATAAACCACAGCCTAAAATTAAGTTCCAGTGGTCTGAAATTCCTCATGTTTGTTTTATCAAAACATCTTAATGGACGTTTTATCAAAACAGTTCTCAATTTGGTCTTGATTTGATTTCCACACTTCTGTTTGGATACTACGGAAAATCAACTTCCTAATTTAAAACTGAAGTAAAGGCTGTTTTGCTAAAATTCCTTATGATTCTAACATTTAAAACAATGTCTAAAGTTTAAGAACACGGGAAATTGAGGACCTTCTTTCTCCCAATCCCAATATTTGCTGCCCTTCCCCCTGATGGTAAAACTACTAAGACTGATGATAAGGCTGCTATTTACACTAATGCTAATGATAAGGCTGCAATTTCCACTATACGTGATAAGTCTGTTTACTGAAACAAGCTGTCACCACCTTTACTCACTTCATTTTTTTAGGGTAGTGCTGTAACAGACAGCTTTTAGATCTTGAGTCACAATGTCAATGAATGTTTTCACCTCATGAGGTGAAAAATGTGACATTGCATTTATAAATTCAATGTAATAATAATTATATGGAATCTGTTCTGAAACTTTATATTATCCCCCCATGCGCTTAGAACTGCAATATCTTCTTTGAAAATCAACTTCAGCACATTATTGAAAATGCCCAGCACTAGGATAAAGATGACAGTGATAAGTTAAATTCTTGCACTTTTCAATCGACTGCCTCCGTAATCTGCACCAAATAGCACTCAGTAGATTAAACGTGACTGGATGTAGGCCATCTCGCCCTTATTTGCTTTAATTTCTCTCTCCCTCCCCCCAATTCCAAGAGTTTCAATACGGTGCAATCCACATTTCATTTGAGCTCTATAGATTGTCCAGTGCTTGAGATGTCTAGCAGGGCATCTGGTCAGATCAATTATGTGCAAGTATCGAATTGTCGAGTAGTTAGTTACCTTGTCTCGCAGAATTTTCTGCCAGACAAGTGTTGTAATTCCTTTTGAGTTAAGGCCATTACACTACTCTTGCAGGAGTGTGCAATTCCATCTTAGGATCCAGTGTATAGAAATCTTCACAAGTCATTTCTGTTAGCTCCCTCACCCTGCCCAATCTCTGAGTACAAACAGTGAAAACTCTCCTCAGCTCTTGAGAAGCTATTGGCGTGCCAGGTGCTATATAATGCAAGTTGTTTTTGTCAGTTCAAATATTCCAAGGAGAAACTCCTACCGCAGCGAGCCGATCTATACTTGACCTCGTGGTAGCACTGAACAAAGCTGTGGTAGATGAAAGTGATGGGCAAAGCCAGAAGGACAATGCCACTGATCACACACATCCCACCCAGGATCCTGCCAGGGACAGTGATGGGGTACATGTCTCCGTACCCTACAGTGGTCATGGAGATAATCACCCACCAGCATGATGCTGGAATACTGGCGTAGTCTTCGTTTTTGTTTTCCAGGTCGAGCCCACTCTCCAGCAGCTGGGCGAGAGCGCCAAAGATCGCCATGGCCACGCAGATAAACACAAGGAGCATGACCATCTCCCGGTAGCAGCGTTTCAGGGTCAAGCCCAGAGTCTGCAAACCCAGGAAATGGCGAGCAAGTTTGATCACCCAAAAAATCCTCATCATCCTCAGCACCCTGAGGGTCACCCCTGCCCGCTGCAGTTGGGAGTTCTCTCCTGTGAAGAGGCTCATCAGGACTGAGACGTAGTAAGGGCTGATCGCTAGCAAGTCAATGATGTTGAGGGGTTTCCTCAAAAAATCGCATTTGTTCTTGGAGACCAGGAACCTCACAATGCACTCAGCGGTGAACCATCCCATGCAGATGGCCTCGATTATCCTGTAAAACCCAACACACATGGATTAAATACAACAATCCCATTTTTTTCAAGTTAAAAAGTACATAATATATACATATTTAGACAAAACAATAAACGAACACAGATTGCAATGTTAATTTAAAGTGGGAAGGGACGAGATAGCAGCAACAAACACGAAGTAGCGTGGGCGTTAGTCACTATTTGGAAGTGACTGGTGTTAAAGGTGAGAATCACAGCCTTTGTCCATGCAATACAGTATACAAATAATATCAGCAACGATATGTTATGGAAATACTGTAACTTTTATAGTACTTATAACGCCCAAAGGGCTCAAAGTGCTTCACAGTACCTGTTGTCATGTGAAGTGGCTGTGTTTTGTAAATAACAGAAGTGAAGGGTTTCAATCCTGTTAAGAGTCCTATGTATCCCTTTCCAATCCTGTTATATTAGTTACTGAGTAGGTTACTACAGTACTGAATGCATTTCTCTACATTGTGCCCATTGTTAATGTGAGCATTGCTATTGTGAGTGCAAGAGAAGGGTTTGTCTGCCTGGGATGGTCACTGCACCCAACACAGACAGACCTTTAAGTTCGGACAGGAAGGTCTTTCTAGAGGTTGTGGTCCATTGTTTAACATCACTGTTTCTCGGACAGGACAGTATTTGCCTTTCCTGATAACTCTTACGGAGCCTCTTTAACCCCAAAGCCACTCGTTTTCAATTGCCAATTGGGCTCCTGCGAATGCCCAGCATTTCTGTTGTGAGTTCAAATTTCCAGCATTGTAAGAACAGTAGTTAAGTTTCAAAATCGTGTTTGGAACCCCAAAATCCCTCAAATAGTGCACCGGAACGACAAATGTGTATCAAATTTCTGTTTTTTTTAAAAAAAAAACTGTTTGCACCTTATCAAACTTTTGATTTCATTTTACGAATCAACGAAGGGACGTTATGGACCGATATAAACGTCCCAAACTGTAACATATCGCCGAGTTTGCGTCTGTTCACAAATTGTTGCTGTGATTTTCTTTGGGAAAAGAGGGTCCAAATCATCCGGACCCTGAAATCAGTGGTGTTCCCGGGAGGAAGGCGGTCTCTTGTGTTGTAACGTGTGTTCCCGTCGACCTCAACCAACGAGTTTCAATGTGTTGCGGAGTTTAACCAGAGACGGATCGTTCCTCCTGTGTGTGTTTGCGAGTGTTTTATTTCACGGTGGGACTTCGCTCTCGCAGTCCACGCACAGCCGCGATCAACGCGTTCGCCCGATCGACCCCGGGGAGTGCGAGAAGGCGGCGATGCTGTTACATTATTGTTTTAATATTTAACTGATGGCGGTGAGAGGTGCGAGGGTTTGGCAGCCTCGGGGGTACGGGCAGAAATCAATCCAAATCGCTGAGGCTGGATCTTCAATATGAGGGAAACTGCAGCAAGAACTGGATTTCTGAACTGGTTAGTAACCACTAACACACAGCGATCTGACCACAAGTAGGTAGTTAGTTAGTTAGTTAGTTGATCGGAGTTTGCATCAGGTGTTTCCAACTCATTAAAGCTCCAGTTACAACACGCGGATAATAAAGGTCAGGGATTTAGAGGCAAAAAAAATGCATCTAAATCCCTGCATGAGCATGTCTTGTGGAGAGAGATTAATATTTCCGAAAGGAACATTTTCAATCATCCACTAAATCCCCAACTCATCATTCAAACAAATGGATTACTGTGTGTGTGTGTAAAACAAAACGAGTTCCTTTCTATCTGTCATTATCCCCTTCCCCCCTCTCTCTCTCTCTCTCTCTCTCTAACCTAAACAGTAGCGTTGAGTCTGGTAACTCTTGAATAAAGATTTTTTTTAAAACGGATTCAACTCTTGTTGATGTTCCGCGTCACAGCCAAACCTTCGTCCTTCTTATCTTAGAGGTATTTTTCCCTTAAAAGCAATTTCGAAGCTGACCGTTCGGTCAGAAGGAAACTTGGTGATTTTTTTTTGAAATGGTGAAATTGACTAAAGGAGTTTGGAAGAGCGATGATCCTGTCCAAACAGATCGGGCTATTAGACCGAGGCAGCTCTATCTTGATTCGTTTCAATATGTATATTAAAGACCATTAGAATCTCTTTCTTAAAACCGATTTTCGCCTGTCAATTTTACTATGGGTTCGTGATGGTAACATGTGTTAGTGATGTGCACAGTAAATCCCAAACCAGTCTGATTGTAATGGTAAATTGAAAACTAGCTGCACTGCCCATCCCCGCAATGTGCATGTGCACAGTGCTGTCAGCCTCTTGTCTCTCAGTCAGAAGAGTCTGAGTTCAAGCTCCACTCAGGGACTTTGAGCTCACAGTCAAAGCTGGGTCTCCAGTGCAGTGTTGGGGAGTTTACACTGTCAGGTGGGAACATTACACCAAGGTCCTGTCTGCTTGTTCAGGTACACTTTTAAAGTTTCCATGGGCACTATTTGAAAATAGTTTCTCCTGGTGGCAATAACACCCCACATTCACTTCATGGCTGTTTGTACCACATGTGTGAATTGGATGCATGTTTGCCTACAAAATACAGTCATTGCTCCTGACAATAAAACAAATCCTGTGAAGTGCTTTGAGACATTTCCATGATGTGATAAGGCACTATATGAAATGCCAGGATTATTAACAGTTCATATTTACACAGCGCCTTTCGAGTTGGGATGACTTTGTGTGCACAGATGAGCTGGTTCTAGGAATTGGTGAGCATCAAGAACAACTTGCATTTTTACAGCGCCCTTCACACCGGACGGCGTCTCAAAGCGCCTGCATCACATTACACAAGCCAGTAATACATCGGTTCTGGGAATGCATTGTACACACCTTCCCAGTGAAAGTGCATCGAGATGGGTTTGGGGATGAATGCATCACATTATTTCATTATCTCCCATTTCTGTTCTTGGCACAATTTTTTTTTAAAAAAAGGAGTTGTTGCCTGGATCCTTGCAGGCAACAAATATATTAAGAAGACAAAGTTCAGTGTTTGTTAGTATCTGGCTTGATTTAGAGAAGTTTTTGTTTTTTTACTTTGCAAAATAAATCCTGATTTTCACCGAATTTTCCCAGGGTTTTGTATGTGAATTTTTTTTTCCTCTCGAATTTCTACTGTTTATCTTTTTGAACAGAAAAAAAGATAGACCCAGAAATAAAAGTTTATGTTTGTGCCCGTGTGTGTGTGTGTGTGTGTGTGGATAGAAAAGACTTTCGGGATCCATCAAATATGTGCAGGTAAACTATTTCTGTTTGATAGCGCAAGAGAGAGACAAAGAGGAGAGGGAAAATATATTATAGGAAAGAATTGCTTTTGGACTTTTAGAGGGATCTTAAAATTGTCAAGAACAGTTTGGGGGGTGGAGAGGGTCAAAGCTGTACTTTGCAAACTGACAAGACCACTGAGATAAAAGCCACAGTGAAGAACAGCACTGATTTCAACAAGCCACGAAAATGCACTTTTCCTTAAGACTATGTGTGTGTGTGTGTATATATATATATAAAAAAAACACCATTTATGGACAAAGACGCTCACACCCATGGAGAGACTGGACACCATAGATTTGAAAAAGGAGTTATAAGTACCCTGATGGTCCCATTAAATTCTCTGTGTACCTGTGCTCCTCCACGCTGTTGTTCTCGGCTGTTTTCCAGTCGGGTAAGGTGCTGGCGCACAGCACCACCATGGACACGATGACGAATAGGATGGACACGGTGGCCAGAACCTGAGCCGCCACAGACGAGGTGGGCTCCTCGAAAGTTCTCCTCATCCTCTCCAGCCACTTCCTGCTGGACTGGGAGTCCGCTCGGACCTCCTCTTTCTTCCGTTTGGTCATTTCCTCCTCTTTCTCCTCGGAGTAGAAGGTGTAGGTGTCGGACATCCTGTCGTCCAGGCGCCGCTGGCAGCAGTACTCCAGGTTGGAGCGGTCCAGACCCCAGTAAATCAGTTCGTTGTAAAAGGACAACTCGCACATCTGAGGCACGAAGCGCAGTTTCCCGTACTTCACATACAACATGATGAACCCGAAAGCCTCCGAGTGCCGGTCGAAGAAATACTCGTTCCTCTCCCGGTCGTAGTCGTCGCACACTTCCAGCACTTCTTTCTCGGACAGGCAGCCGTGCAGTCTGCTCACCCTCCTGAGCGGGAAGTCTTTGATCACGTCCCTGGGGAAGGAATAGCGGGTCCCGCCGACGTTCAGGATCAGGGGGGCGCTGCCCCGCTTCATCTCGGAACAGTGCGGGGGAGACCGGGGGGGGTGGGGTGGGGAGGGGGCACTTTTGACCCTGTGCTACTACATGGGCTCAGTGTGTGATGCCACTGAGCTTTCTTTCACCTGTTCATGGTTTTTTTTTTGGGGGGGGTGGGGTGGGGGGTCTCCACATTAATCCACATGGACAAAAGCCCCGCTCAGGCTGACAAAGTAACACCACCAGGTCTGAACTAACTACTTTTCCTACTGAGTGTGCAGTTGGCTGTCGGAGCCGGGGATGAGCTCTGTGACTTGTGCTGCTCCTGGTGTGGTGTCTCTCTCCCTCTCCCTCTCTCTGGCTGAGTCCTGCAGACAGACCAGGGCTGTGCAGCTCTGACTGAACTGACGTGAGCGGCTGTCGGTAGCCACAGCGCCCCTGCAAACCACTGCTCACCACAGCACAGCACAGCCCTCCCCAAAGCAATTACATCAGGGATTACATTCAACAAAGCACAGCACCAGTCCCACACCGAACCACATTCCCGATTGCTGTATTGCTCTTTGCAGATCGTCGTGTTTCACCTACGTATAATGTTCAAGCCACTGTGACAATCACATCATACAACGTCTTAACGCCGTTTCAGACGGGGGTAACTACTAGTTAGGTTAGTGTTTTGATTTTTAATTGGAGCTTAATGCTGAGCGGATGCTTTTCCTCCTACACTCAGATATGATCAGGCAAAACACGTTTTGATCGTCAAGTGCAATTCTACGCAAACAAACAATTAAGTCGTCTACTTTTTTTTTGTGGCAACTTTTACTCGGTCTCTTTCTCTCCCCCTTTCTCCTTTGTAAGACTGTACCATGAATTGGTCTCAGAGAGCTGCAGCTCGAGCTGGGGATTTGGGGATTCCTGGGGTTCCCGATCATGTCTGGATATCGCCCTAAAACGCTTTGTTTTAAAAAGAGCGATATGGATCTGGGCTTCTATTTGACTCTCTCCCACCCTCGGTGTTCACTGCAGTCCGAGAACAGTGGTTCAAGAGCTAACGACAGAGTTTAAGTGATTTCCTCACAAGAGCACACAGTTGGATGAGAAGCTTCAGCCCTTTCTCTAACCGGCAATGTAACTGTGTTACAAATAAGACGCGCTTTAACTCACTGAAAGCGGTTTGCTTTAAATCGGAATGGTTTCTGCGGGCAGGTGTCGCCGAGATAAAATAACCCCGTGTCCATTTAGTCTTAAGATTGCAATTTGTTTAAAACAATGCAAATTGAACCCACAGAAGAGGCGATTCGATGAGCTTATCATGACTGGATGAATGGCCACATGGGATCACTGCGGCGATTTTGATTAATATTAATAATAATAATAATAATAATTCTTCCATTCATCGTGTGGTTGAGACTCTCAAAGTGCTTCACAGAATATATTGTAAAGTGGATCGACAGTGGGTTTTGTGAGCGAAGAGCAGCAGCCAATTGCGCACAGCAGTGTCCCACAAACAGTCATGGATTGAGTGACCCAATTTTTTTTGAAAATAATGATGGCATTAGAGTTTCCTACTGTTTGTGCAGCTCACTGGTGACTGGTACATTCATGGCACAACCTCACTTACAGAACGCTATAGATCTCACTCACAGAAAGCTCACACACTATAGTCCTCAATCACAGAAAGCTCACACACTACAGACCTCACTCATAGAAAGCTCACAGACTACAGACCTCACTCATAGAAAGCTCACACACTACAGACCTCACTCACCGAAAGCTCACACACTATAGATCTCACTCACAGAAAGCTCACACACTATAGACCTCACTCACAGAAAGCTCACACACTGTAGTCCTCAATCACAGGAAGCTCACACACTACAGACCTCACTCACCGAAAGCTCACACACTACAGACCTCACTCACCGAAAGCTCACACACTACAGACCTCACTCACAGAAAGCTCACACACTGTAGTCCTCAATCACAGAAAGCTCACACACTACAGACCTCACTCGCAGAAAGCTCACACACTATAGTCCCGATTCAATTTCCCACAGCAAACAAAATAATGTGTAGTCAGGATAAATAACATACAAGAGGTAGCAACTGAAAGCACAGCCAGTGTTAGCAACTATTCAAAGACGGTTCAATCCATATCGCTTTAGGATTGTTCATTAACAACCATTAAAATCTTTTATTATCCACCAAATAAAAACCCAAGTATTTTTCATGTATTTCTTTTAAAGTCTAATTGATCGTTTTTTTTTCAGAGTCTAATCTGATTGATTTTTTTGTGCCAAGAACTCACACACCATTTGCTGAGTTGTATTCGAGACACTCTCCTACATGAAGGGCACTATATAAATCTGAGTTACTGTTATTGTTGCTGTAGCCCAATACTCACTATACTGCACCGGTGACTCTGGAAATCTATTGCATGTGCAATCCCAGAACCCACTCATCTGCACAAGTGCATTTTGGAACTGGTTTGCAGGTAAGTGATACATATGCATTCTCAGAACCCACTCACCTATTCAAGCATGCATGGAACCAGCTTGCTGGCCTGTACAATGTTATGTGGATTCCCAGAATTGTTCAGCTGAATGCAAAAAGCAATGAATTGGTAGAGCAGCCAGATGGGTTTCGGATGCACACGCACCCTCACGGGTGCGGAATAAATCAACAAATTTGTTTTCTTTTAAATGAAATTCAGCTAAAAACAAAATTTTCCAATTGATTTTCATTCAAAAGGCTGGGTATTTAACAATAAAACATTTTTTTAATGGTCTTTGTACAATACAGCACTGGCACCTTAGGCACTCAACTGAACGATTACAACAAAGTTGGAGAAAAAGCCGATGATAAATTCAAAGTACCAATATCTAAGTCTAATGATTTAAATCCGTCTCCCTGTCAAGACTATTTCTGCGTCTTCAAATTGGGCCTCAGAGCTAGTTTAAGTGCAATGATCATTAATTTTCCTGCTTGAACAGCAATGGATTTCTTTTAAACATGAATAATGAATAAGGTTAATAATGTAAAAGTTATTTTTGCCCCATCACAATTGTGAAATTACATTGGTCCACTGAAGTTCCTACTTTTTGTTATCATTAAAGTACATTTGCCTGGGGATCTGTGGCCTAACATTTCTCATGAAATGTTTGAAAGTACCCAGGTTTTTCATTTGAAGATAAAACTTATCTTAATGGTCTTGCTTGTGATTTTATGGGTCTAAAAGGCTTGAATCATCTGCTTTAATCATTTTTTGTTACAGCTATCCTGATGAATCACAGCTTTTTCTTCGGAACAATTTTTCAGAAGGAGGGGTAAAGGAATCTTTGATCTGTTTCATCTCTCTTTAACAGCAACAACAACAAATTGAATTTGTATTGCCAGGAGGACGTCCCAAAGCGCTAGACAATCAGGGATCTGCACCCAAGCTGGCAGTTGGTATCAGGAAGGGGGAGGGCAGGGAGAGTAAGGGTCAAAGAGGAGTGTCTGAGACGGGTGTTGAAGGGGATAAGGGAGGGGGCGAGGCAGATCAACACCCTAAAGTGTGCAGAATACAAGATGTCCCAACAGTTCTCCTTCATTAATCAGAGATCCTAGTCATTACAGCCTAGATTTTCTGCAGGTAATAATAATACTTGCATTCGATATAGCGCCTTATCACGTTGTTACATCTCAAAGCACTTCACGGAATATTCTATAAAAGTGAATTCACTGTGTATTTTGTGGGCGAAACACTGCAGCCATGTGAGATCTAGCACTAAGCTGGGAAGTGGCTTTGTAGGGGGAAGGAGGACTCCGGCCTAAAACAAATTATACCCTAGTGGCAGGCTCACAACAGCCCCATCCATTTCGCAAAGTCTCTTATGTGAGGACATTGTGCTGAGCAGGCCTGGTATGTGATACTTGAATTGGAACTCCAAAACATCAAAGTGGTTGGTATGTTTGTAAGCCACTCCATCAAACTGAAGATGTCTCATTAAATGATGTCAAGAATGTCAATCTTAACTCTGAGACTTGCTGTAAGACATTACCAGAAGTTGGGCTTGTGAGTACACTCTCTCACATGAGGTACTTGGTGTTATCATAGTTGATATGTAGAGTGCTAATATTGCAGAATGGCAAGCATCTACATACTGTTTCTATATATGATTTTTATCTCTAACACTCATTGCTATGATCATTTGCTATAATTTGCTGTAATTTGAAGTCTCTAATTACATTCTGCCCATTTAGATAATATTACTGATGGCTAAAGATGATGGGTAGGACACTGAGCTGAGCAGGCCTATTACACGATATTTGAATTGGATTTCAGCGAAGACAATGGTACCAGAATTACACACATAGATGAGTGGGTTCTGGGACAATAGTTGGTTTGTTATAATTGGTGTCGCTAGGCAAACGAGGGAAAATTCTGCTCCCATTTTAACAACACAAGAAAAGAACTCTGCATCCTTGTGATGTGCGGACATGGTGTGGACAGCATAGTTGAACCTGCTGTGTCCTCTCAGATTGACATAAATGCAGGCATCATTGTCAAATTATACCAGCAACATAACCAGATCACAAGTGTCTCATTTTGCTACAATTTAATGCCTGGAATAAAATTATATTTTTCACACAGGCAGCAAGAGCTTGAAGGGATCTCAAGTAAAGTTTTAATTTCCAATATTAACATTGTTACACCCACAATACATTTTCTAGAAACAGTAGGAGCTCCTTACATTTGGCAGGAAGCAAGAGGTGGGTGCTCCCGTAATACAAATAATTGTGCACAAATGCTTGCTAATCGACATCAAGATTTAGGATTCTTCTGTGAACGATCTCAGTAGGAAAAGGATAGAGAAACAGATTGAAGCACCTACGTAAATGATGCTTTCATCCTTGGGTGATAGGCCCTCTAAGATATTCTAAGTTGTGTTTCTATCTTTAAAGTAATAGTTAACTTTTGTAACTACCTCGGACCAATATTGTAGTCATTAGTTATGCATGATACATTTGGGCAGATTCTAAAGACCTTGTTTAA